TTGGTATTTTGAGACAGGGTCTCACTATGTAGTTGAGACTGACCTGGAACTCACTATGTAGCATAGGCTGGTCTTGAACACACAGCGATCCTCCTGCCTCAGCCTCCCAAGTGCTGGGATTACAGGCATGCGCCACCATGCCCAGCTCCAATGATCATTTTTAATACTGGCATAATATTCTACCAAGTAAATACAGTTCACTTATTCATTCAACATCTACATGGAGTAATGTTTTTGTTTCCTTCAAATTAAGCTAGAAATTCCCAAGATGGAGGTCAATGGAGTCAGCATTTTGGATGGCTCCTCGCACCTCACCTGAGAGACAGCCTGGGAAGTCCCGTGGGTACTGCCACACCCTCACCCTTCTTCCAGGCCCTCCCTTTCTCCTTCTCCTGTCCTTACAAATGTCCTGTGCAGCAATAACATCTTAGCCTAATCCAGATAATGGTAGAGCAAGAAACTTTAGGCTGCAGGGTAAAAATTAAAAGAGAAGTAAATAAGTAAAAAGACCCAAGCCTGTTTTAAATAACAAAGCCAAAAGGCAAACAAACAGCAAAAAATTAGTTTACAAAGTAGCATTGACATCTAGTTAGAAGGAGAAATACTCCTAGCCTATAGCAAACACACTAAGGAATCAGGCACAAGCTAAGTTCCTCTCTATGCAAGGAGGAACTCTGGGCTCATTAACAGCAAGAATCCCAGGGGTGGAGCACTCACCATGCTTTGGGCACTGCACTCAGTGCTTTAAGAGAATTGCTTCACTCAAGCCTAACAAAATTCCAACAGGCAGGCACTTTCACTATATTCATTGTAGAGGCGAAGTCAGAGAAGCATCTACCACAGGCCCATAGCCACATAGGAAATACATAATGAAGCCAGGTCATGGCTCTGAGCTGCTCTACAAAGAGCCCTCCCAGCCCTACCACAAAGGGATCTGTGCAACTCGGGATTGGCCAAGAGCACTGCAGGTAAATAAGCAGAAAAGTTGTCTGTAATGTACACAGTTCTCTGGTAATACCCTTGAAATAATGCAGGATTCAAAACACTGAATGCAACATGCACATACTCTCTTCCCACTCTGGCCCACCCAGAGGTCCCAGAACTTTCCAGGGCATACTCAGTAGCCAATGTGGGCCTTAATCTCCAGATGGAAACTTCTCTACCTCCAATTCTAGGCTAGAATACTGACAATTAGCTGTATAATGAGCAGGGATCTGTTGTATTATCTCTCTTTCCAGCCCCCTGCTCTCAACTCCAGCCCAACACTAAAAATACTCAAAAAGAGTCATTTGTTGGGGTCTTGATTGTTGCTACTCCAAAGGCAAAGCAAAAGAGAGAGTAAAGTGTTCTACCAGCCAGGAAGAAGTGTTACATTAGTTCTCATCTCTGGGCACTTATGGTCGACATGTGTACTCTTGCTGCTGTCATTCTGATTAAGAAATGTCACCAAGGTATGTACATGTCAAAACTTATCAAACTGCATATTTAAAATACCAGTAGCTTATTATATGCCAATTATATCTCAGTAAAAGGAAAAGATGCTGTTGTAAAGATTGGAATATAATACAAGCAAAGTGTACATAGTACAGTTCTTGACAGATATTAGGTACTCAAAAAAATCATTAACAATGTAAGTGGTAATGGTCACTTAGGACAAAGTCCTTTGGAGGTCACCCAGGATACAAAAAATAAAAAATAAAATGCTGCCAGAGACCCGAGAATAAGTGGGACATTTTGGTTAGCAGGTGGTTTTATAGTTTTGCCAAGTAAGGCAGGATTTCAAATGACTTACTGGAACTCATGGTGGTAGCAGGACAAGCCTTCTGCAACTGGGACTCTGAACCTCTCTGCAAAAAAAAACAAACACCACAAAATAGAATCAATGAATGGCATGTTCATGGTCAGCATTAAAAATGCAAATACTGTAACCTTTGTTAAAACAGAGCCTACTGGGTATCTCTTGGTTGGACTTTTGAGTGGGGGGGTACCAAGAACTGAATTCAGGCAGCAGTACCAATGAGCTAAATCCCCAGCATTGGTTAGACCTCTTGTTCATGCCTGACCGTGCCCTTCTGTGCTCTTGGGGACCTCACTCAACATCCTAGCCTCACTTTTGTCACTTATACTGGGTTTAGATGTTACTCCAGATCTCATACACCTCTAATTCCACTAAAAACCTCAAGTTACCTGAGCACATGTGGTTCAAGAAGAGTGTAAAGGAAAGAGGAATACATATTTTAGGAGAAAGAGGTAAGATCAAAACACAAACTAATCATTAGAGGTTAATAATGGTAGTGAATACTCACATATAGCTAAAAATACAAAGAATGTTCTAAATGCTTTAAGTATGTTGATTAATTTGATCCTTACAATAGGTAAACACTACTATGTTAGTTCATTCGGATGAGGAAACCAAGGCAGAAGGAGGTGAAGCCATGTGCCTGTCTGTGTGGAGGAACTGACTCGTGGTTAAAGTTCCTTCCTGAGCACTGTAGCCCATCACCTGAAAGTGGGAACTAATCACCGATGCTCAAGTGGATAACCCTGATTTAATACAGCCTCTAACCAAAGGATACCTGCATTGTATTGGCAATACCCTGGTACCTACTGAGATCTTTAAGTTATCATTTGTCCACAAAAAATGTATCCATCTAAATTATACAATTTTATGGGTTTTGATAAATATACAGTCCCATAACACCACTACGATCATAATATACCACATTTTCATTACCCCCCAAAAAAGTCCCTTTGTGCCTCTCTATAGTCAATCCCTGCAACTAAAGATGTGATTTGGGATTTGTGGTGTGGTATGTGTATGTGTGTTACTGGAGATTGAACCCAGGGTCTCACATTTGCTAGGCAAGCATTCTACCACTGAGCTACATCCCCAGACATTTTTTTTCTCTATCAATTTGAGAAAGAGTCTTGCTAACTTTCCCACATTGACCTGAAACTTGGTGGTCCTACTGCTTCAGCCTCTTGAATAGCTGGAATTACAGACATGGGCCATGACACCCAGCTAGTACTGTTCTGCTTTCTGTCAATATAGTCTTATTTTTCTAGTATTATATTTATATGCAATTTTTTGAGCCTTGCTTTTCTCGTTTTCATAACTTTTTCAAAAAGGAGAACATTTCCAGATTCTTATTCTGTTCAACTCAGCTGTCTTTACTCAGTAAATCATTGATTCAATTTCTATAGCTTTGTATCTAAAATTGGGTAGTATAAGTCTTCCAATTTCATTCTTTTTTTTTTTTTTTTGGTTTTTTGAGACAGGGTCTCACTATGTAGTTGAGACTGACCTGGAACTCACTATGTAGCCCAGGCTGGTCTCAAACTCACAGCAATCCTCCTGCCTCAGCCTCCAGAGGGCTGGGATTACAGGTTTGTGCCACCACGCCCAGCCTTCCAACTTCATTCTTATCAAAAATCATTTTGACTATTTTAGGTCATGTGCATTTTTTATGTGAAGTTTAAAACTGTTTTATCAATTTCTAGCAACAACAACGAAAAAACCTGTTGGAATAGTGAATGGGATTTTGTCAACTAATATAGATTAATCAAAGGAAAACCAACATTTTAACAGTATTTAGTGTTCCAATTCATGAGTATGGCCTATCTCTCCCTTGTCTAAGACTTCTTTAATTTCTTTCCACAGTCTTTCATACTAAGAAAAGTACAGATCTTGCACATACTTTGGATAATGAGATTGTACTGGACATATCTGTAGGCTACAGAGCTAGAAAAATGAACTGAAATGTAGTCCAAAGACTACACTGGCATTGGCAGAGACTTATTAAAGATGCAGAAACTCAGACTCCATACCTACTGAGACAAAATCTGCACTTTAACAAGGTCCCAGGTGGTCCCTTTGCTCTTGAAAGTATGCAAACAAATGATGCCCAGGAAATCACTGGTTTGTGATTTCTGTAATAGGCATGTCAAGATAGGGTATGAAAATCTGCATAAGAAAACATGTTTCGGTTTTCTTTGTTTCACAAGCTGGTTTAAAGCACTGATTTCCTTTCTGGGTTGTTCTGTTTTCTATCATTCTTGGATTTGACAGACTAAAATGGTAGAGATGAAAAGAAAATCATTCTAAGTCCTTCTCTGCAGCCCAAATCAGCAGAAACTTTGCCTTTGTTACTGTCAAATACACCTGAGACTATCCATAACCTTCAATCGCCCCTCAGACTGTTCTGCAAAGACATTTAGTTTTTGGTCCAGGAACATACAACCTACTGTGTTCTGTATACCCTTGTGGTTTCTAATTCTACTTTTATGAGACCTTCCAGGACTAAAAGCATTGCTGTGATACTATCAGCCAATGCTTTTATTTTACAAATAATTTTATTAACTGGGTCTGGTGTTACAGGGCTGTAATCACAACACTCTGGGAGACTAAGGCAAGAGGATCAAACGTTTGTGCCAGGACAACTTTGTGAGACACTGTCTCAAGAATAATTTTTTTTAATTTAAAAAATAGGCCGGAGATGTAGCTCGGCAGGAAGGCCCTCAGTCAATTCTCAATGCTGAAAATTATCAGTTTTAATATGTCAGTTTTTACTACTCAATTTTTTTTTTACTACTCAATTTTTAAAGAATAACCAAAGAGATCTTTTGATTCAACTGTGAAGTTACCTTAACAGAAACCTTTTATTCCTTACATTGTTGTAAACATATCTGGACAGCTTTCATTTTTTAAATATCTATTTCATAAACATGTTTTAAGGTTTCTATGGTTAGTATAGCTATTGCTTTAATGGCTATACACTATTTCATTGTAATAACATTGTATAATCCATTTACCAATTATCTCTGCATAGTTTAATTCAGCTTCACTAAAAAAAAAAAAAATGAAGACAAAGTACACAACAACTTATGCTGGGAAGAAAGCAAAAGAATAATGGGGATTATCTTATGAGCCAAACAAAACGGAAGCATCAATTCACACGCTGACATATGTAAGTGACCCTTTGCCCATTTTATACTTCTCAATACTGAAACCACTAACTTCTGTCAGCCCACTCATACTTGCAAACTGATCTGGTCAGTGATGATATTCAAAATATTCAACCATCATTTTGCCATAAATGTTCACCAACTAGAGTAGACGACTATAGACACAGCACTCTCTAGAGAACCTTTCCCTGTGGCTGGTACTAACTGTTCAGTGGATGGATGGTGAGAGTAGGGAAATGGGTCCAGAGAGGTAGCAAGCTGTTTCAATATTTTAAGAACTAGCATGATACTAGCAGGTGACAATGACAACACATAGATAAGCACCAGCTAGGCAAACAAAGAATTTTTAGAACCAGGCATGGTGCTGGCATGCCTATAATCTTAGGTACTTGAGAAGCTGAAGCAGGAGGTTCTCAAGTTTGAGGACAGCATGGGCAACTTACCAGGATCTTGTTTCAAAATTTTAAAAAAGGACTGGGGATTTAGCACAGTAGTAGAGTGCTTGCTTGGCAAGGGCAAGAACATGGAGTCAATCCCCAGTAACAACAACAAAAAAAGAACTTTTTAGCTACAGTAGAAAGTTCTGTTGGATGCATTCTCTTGGTGACTGAAAATATGTGTGATTCAAAGAATCAGAGGGGAATTAAAAAAAAAAAAAAAGAACTACAGCAAGGGTAGCAGTGGCGGCTGTAACAAGGACAGGTGCCCAGAGTCTGGTCCAATCCTTACTGCAACAGCAGTAAGATCCTATTAGACTATCCCAGGGCTTGATTCTGGCTCTGATTCCAACCAACTCAGCCTTCCACAATTCCTACCCCAGTCCTGAGCACAATTTTCCAGCCTTTCAAACTCCATGAATTTCCCAAGATCTTGCCAATAAATCGCTTGTCAGTTGAAGTTCCTGGAGGTGGGTTTTGGTTATCTGCATCCCAAGAACCTTGACCAGTACAAGCTGGGAAGAAGAGTTTTCAAAGGTTTCATCTGAAAAAAAAGTTTCTTCATTCCTCTCTGCTGAAGTAAGGCTGGCCTGATCTGAATCCCAAGTGACTCAGCTATGGTTTTGCCTCTGTCACCTAAAGAGCTCACAGTCCAGGTATGAGATGCATCCAGGAGGCTGCACAAATCAAGCCCTGACCAGAACACAGAAAGCTCTGAAGGCTTCATTTGGTCCCTACTGCTTCTTCAGGGATAGAACAGGACATAACAATCAGATGTTGAACTGAGAATTTTAAAATCCGAGTGGGAAAGAGCTTGATTTGGTTGAGTACTGTATATGATACCACATCAATGACTCAAATATCTAGGAAGTCCTCTCCAAAGAAGCCAGGCACCTTTCAGTAAAAGCCAAAGAGAACTGTGCCATCTACTGGCAAAAACCTGACAACTGCAAGTAGACAATTATTTCATAGTGAGTTTCAGGAATTTACAGTGTCACAGATTGCGTGGGCCAGCCAGATTCAAGCCTCAATTCCCCATGCCTTGAGCTATAGGGCCTTTCCACAGCACCAATACAGACATTCCACTACAAGAACAAGACGTGAAATGGCCAGAGTTACTAAGAACACATCCAGATAACTAGTGATTCTGCACAGCCTCTCCCTAATTCCATGATCTTATAATTTTCAGTTTTGATGACAAAGAATGAATAATCATCAAAAATTTTGGTTCCAGCTAAAACAAAATCCAACAATAAACATGAATTGTCTACTAAGAAAGGAAAAAAAGTCTTTCTATGCAGAGTTTGCAGATGTGTGACTAGAGAGAACTTGAATTTGTCTGTAAAAAACAAAGTCAAGGTCTAACAAAGATTCTTGGAAGAAAATGAGTCTTTGGCTAACCTCTTACACAGCACACTCCAGCTTCTCCTATTCACTGTAGGATT